TCTTTTCCAATTTGGATGCCTTTTATTTCAATTTCTTGTCTGATTGCTGTAGCCAGAACTTCCAGAACTATGTTGAATAGAATACACATGGTATTTAGTATGTGTACATCTTATATACAAGTGATGTATATAAGTTCACATGTATCTTATATGTACAAGTACGTATATACATTTAGTGTGTGTTACATCTCATATACACACATATATGGCATTTAGCATGTGTGTGTGTCGCATCCCGCATGACAAGGGCAGTGAGAGAATGAAAGGGGGCGGTGAAGGGTTAAGAAAGAAAAGAAACAGCAGCTAAGAGTTAAATGAGAGTGGGGCCAAGGGTCCCCAGCCTCAGAGGACTAAGAGCCCCGAATCGGGCCAACACGCAGCTTTTGTTTCTCCACCTACCCGGAAGTAGCATTGTTCTCTCCACAGTCTGTGAGTCTCATTCCTGAGAACTTGCTCAAGCCAGATTACCCATGCCTGCAAACTGCTATTACCGAGAGTCTGCCCACATGACCAGATAAATGCTCTGCCTTTACACACCCATACACATATGACCCCAGGAAGATAAGATTATTATACTGAGGACAGATACTATCACATCATCAGGTCACTTCCCAAGCAGGTTGCCAGAAGGAATGTAGCTACAGAGGTAGAAGACCTCCAGTCTCTTTGGGGGCGGGTGAGGACCTATGCCCATCTCCATCAGCCCCGAGATTTCTCCTGATGGCCCCCATGCGACTGTGCCTGTCTTAGGTTTCCTTCCTCGAGGAATCTTACCCGTCATTGACTAACCAGCCATCTTTTGGGGCCAAACAGGGAGACGCAAGGTGTATGAGCAGTGTCCTCAAAAGGGTCAGTTTAGGGTTAAGCGCGGGGGGACAGACAGCTGGACAGCTGCGTGGCAACATGTGTGCATCTTATATACTTGTAAATATGTTATAGTGTATGTGTGCACATGCATCTGTGCCCCTTATATACCTGTATATTCAGTATTTAGTATTATCTAGTACATGCATATGGAGTACACACATTTTATACACAGATATGTTCTCTATTTTGTGTCATGAGTATATGGACTGTGGTACTTGTATGTCACTTAGAAATAAACACCCAGAAGTTGCCACTGGGCTCAATTTTCTTATTTTAGATTGGGGTGTGTGATCACAAGAGTTTGATGGGTACCTGGAGCCATATCAGGGTCCCTGAAAGGAAGGGGGAATAGTAAAAATGCAGGTTCTCAGGCCCCTAATCTGACTAGGATGGGGCAGGCACCCTAAAAGTCCCTGTCCCCCTCGACTTTTGTATTTCCAGAGTTTCTTTTTGTAACTTAAAAGGGCCTGTTGTCTCTGTGGAAACTCAGTTTGGCAGTTCCTTACTAAGTTGATACAGAATTACCACATGACCCAGAAATTCCACCCAGAAGTCTACACCCCAAAGAACTGGAAGCAGGGACTCAAATAAGTGTTTGACCACACATACTCATAGCAGCGTTACTCACCATAGTCAAAACGAGGAAACAATCCAGATGTCCATCAGCTGATGAATGGACAATAAAATGTGACCTGTTCACACAGTGGAATATTATTTGGCCATGAAAAGGAAGAAAGCCCTGATATACTACTACACAGATGAACTTCAAAAATGTGCTCAGTGAGAGAAGCCAGACACAGATGGCCACAGGTGTATGATTTCATTTGTATGAAATGTCTAGAACAGGCAAACCCATGCAGACAGAAAGCAGAATGGTGGTTGACAGGGAATGTGGGGGATGGGGAATGGGGAGGGGCAGTGCTTAATGGGTATGGGGTTTCCTTTTGGGGTGATCAGGAAGTTTTGGATCTATATAGAGGTGGTTGTTAACCAGCATTGTGAACATGCTAAAAGCCACTGAATTGCACACTTCAAAATGATTACAATGCTAAGTTTTATGTATAATTGACCATAATAGAAAAGATGGAGGCTTATCAAGGGCCAAATCCCATGCAGAATCCTGAGATAAAGGCTAAAAAAAGAGAACTGGAGTTTAGTGGGGAAAACATCAAAATACAGATGCTGACAGTAAAAAATAACAATAATAATAAAACATGTATATATCCCTTACCATATGGCAGGTGTGCTTTTAATGGTTTTACTTATACTTATTTGTTGAAACCTCATAACACCCCCATGAGGTGGGTACCTTATCCACATTTTCCAGGTGTGGAAACAGGCACAGACAGATTAAGTCAATTGTCCAAAGCCACCCAGCAGTTAAGCAGCAGAGCTGTGATTTGAACCCAGGTATCCGGCTCCTGCAACCTCACAGTTATGTGTCACCAGACCAAGGTGACAAATGTCAAAGGAGAGTCACAGGCAAGGTTCGGATAAGCACAGAGGAGAGAGGCCTTTGTTCTGTCCAGACCCCCACGAGCTAGGTCAGGGATTATGGTCATCTCACATCTTGACCAGGAAGCTGAGGCCTCAAAGGGTGGGGGGGTCTGGTGGACTCCCCAGCTGGGAATTGGTTTTCCTGTCACTGGACCTTCATCTGCAGGGAACTTTCCATCTGGTAGTGGAGCTGGACCCCAAGTGTAAGCCAGAGCCCGGGACAGTGGCAGGGACTCGTCCACTTGGGCCTGGGGATGGATCCTGGGTCCAGGCCTTGTGGGCGTGTCTACGTAGGCAGAGTGGGCCTGGGTCTGGTTCCATCTGGGGATATAAAACAAAGTCAATTGTCCAAAGCCACCCAGCAGTTAAGTGGCAGAGCTGTGATTTGAAAGCTGTGTGCTTTCTTATTTCCACTCCTTTCTTTCTTTCTTACAAATCTGATCATTTACTTCTATGCCTGGTTACTCTTTTGTTTAGCTCTGCACTTCTTTCTTTGCTTTATTTACTTATCTATTGGTCTAACGCATGGACTCTATAATCAGACAGTGCATGCATATGCCTTTAAATGTTTACAATTTATCTGCTGTGTTTCAAAGTATGGGACATGCCTGCCACGTTAGGTACTATTATTCCCACTGGACAGATGAAGAAACTGAGGCCTAAAGAGGCTGGTAGGTGTGTCTCCCTGGAGGGTGGTGTGCATCTGCTACCTCTGTTATGGGAGGGCTCATGGAAATCGCGCAGACTCTCACCAGGAGCAGAAAGGATGTATGAACAAATGCATGGTAGTATTTTCACACAACTGAACAACCCATAGAAACAAGGACCAACAAGCCGCATGCACATGCAGTGGCACGGATGGGTGTCAAAAATGTCCTGTAGAGGGAAGGATATAACACTGTACCTGGGAGCCAGCAGGTAACCCTTTGTTAGAGCATCTGCAGAGAGGTTAGGTCAATAGATTTAGACCCAGGCAGCCTGGCCCCAGAGCCAGTGTTCTCAGCTCCTACACATCACCATCTTTCCATGTAAAAAAAAAAAAGAAAACGTGGGGAGGGGGCTCAGGGTGGGCTGCTTTAGCTCACAGATATTCACTCCACAGAGAAGCATTGTTGCATAGGGGTTCAATAGCAAAAGCTGTCTGCCTTTGAATGTCAATGCCACCACCTTCCTGCTGTGGGACTCTGTGCAAATTAAGCCACATCTCTGGGCCTCATCCGTACAATGGGGAAATTCATAGGACCCATCTAATAGGGTTGTTGGGAGGATTCAATGTATTAATATGTATCTGTGGCCTGGAATGGCACTAGTGTGCAGGAAGTGTTCAGTCAGTGGTAGCTGCTATTCATGACATTCATTATTACTTTTCTTACATCCTGGTGGGATTTGGCCCTTGTGCAGAAGACGGCTGATGTTCAAATCAGAGACTGCTTGTCCTTTGAGAGGCCTGCTCACAGGGTTGGCCTTGGCTGGCATCTGGGGACCTGGATTTTAGGAGAGTTCCCACTGTTCCATTGGGAGAGGATTCTGGTGGCTTTGTCCCACTATTTGTCCCTTTGCTCATGGTTCCTTGTATCCTTTCCCAGTAATAAGTCACTACTCAATAAGTGAGTAGACTTTATCCTGCAAGTCCTCATAAAGAATCACAGAACCTGGGGTGGCCTTGGGGACCCCGACACAGCCCTTAAGCCCTGAACAAAATCAGATTCAGTCCTGTAAAGTGATGGTCATCATAATCACAGACGATGTTGCTTGAGCACCTACTATGTGCCGGACGCTGTGCTGGGGATTGGTGGGGGTCTTCCCTGGGGTGACCCCCTAAAGCCGGCTCCCTGCTCCCCTCCCCTGCTCCTTCAGTCCAGAGACTGGGTGAGCGAGGCATCTTCGTGGTGGCAGGAGCTGGTGATGTTCAGACATGTGGCGGTGGACTTCACTCAGGAGGAGTGGCAGCAGCTGGCGCCGGCTCAGAGGGCGCTGTACCAGGAAGTGATGCTGGAGAACGTAAGGAACCAGAGCTCGCTGGGTAAGGCAGGGCTCTGGGAGGGCCGCCTTCCTGGTTCCCAGCCCCATCTTCTCTGTCTTCACATGGGGGAAGGGGCAAGTAAGCTTTCTGGGGTCCCTTTTATAAGAGTACTAATTCCAGTCATGATGGCTCCACCCTAATGACCTCTCCAAGGCTCCACCTCCAGATACCATCACCTGGGGGTTAGGAGTTCAACATATGAATTTGGGGTGGCCGACAGAAGTCCATGGCACCAGGCCTTAGTCTAGAGCCCTTGGGAAGTGCTTGAGGGGCTTTTCTGCTTTCTCAGCTCCGAAAGCTGGTGATGAGGGTAAAGGGTGACGGTCCTGTTTTTTTCCTCTTTCAAATTTGGAGTCCAGGTCTGAGTGGGACCACCCATTGGAATCTGTTCCTGCAGGAGCGCCCCCTGGGCTGGCCCTGGAAGAACCCCAACGGGGCTGCCCCAGGCGCTCTGCATCCGGAGAGGCCCGGAGGTGTTCAGGAAGGGCCCCTGGAGACCTCCAGTCAGGAACTGCAGAAAGGAGGGGACTCCCACAAGTGTGACCCGCGGAATCCCAATCGGGAGAGCCGCGGGAGAGCCCTGGGCGGCGGCAAGGAGCTCTGCGTGTGCGGCGAGTGCGGGGATGCCTCCGCGCGGGGCGCTGCGTGGGCGCAGCACCACCACGCGCACGTTCGGGACAAGTCGTTTGCGTTCTCCAAGTGCGGCAAGGCCTTCAGCCAGAGCGCCAACATCACGGAGCATCAGCGCATCCACACGGGCAAGCAGTGCAGCGATTGCGGCGGCGCCTTCTTCCACATCACCAACCTGGTAGACCACCAGCGCATCCATACCTTCGTGTGCGACGTGTGCAGCAAGCGCTTCACCAAGCGCTCATCCCTGCTCCGCCACCAGCGGGCCCCCACGGGCGACAGGCCCCACCAGTGCGAGATGTGCGGGAAGGCCGTCCGCAAGAAGTCGTACCTGGTCAACCACTACCGCACGCTCACTGGCGAGCGGCCCTTCAAGTGCTACGACTGCGGTAAAGCCTTCGCGCAGAGCATGACGCTGGTGGAGCACCAGAAGACGCACACCGGGGAGAGGGCGTTCGCGCGCGGCCATTGCGGGAAGCGCTTCAGCAAGTCGTCCTCGCTGATCCTGCACGAGAGGATCCACACTGGCTAGAGGCCCTAGCGCTGCTCTGACTGCGGCAAGGCCTTCGACCAGAACGTGCAGCGGGTAGTGCACCGGCGCCCCCACACGGGCGAGAAGCCGCACTGCTGCGGCGAGTGCGGGAGAACCTTCCGGGAGGTATCCTTTGTGCTCCAGCATCAGGCTAGTCACAGTGACTGACGACAGGCCTTTCCAGTGTGGCGTGTGCGGCGAGGCCTTTGTGCGCAAGCCAACGCTGCGGCAAGGCCTTTGTGCGCAAGCCAACGCTTGTCCAGCGCGGCCAAATCCACACCGGCGAGAAGCCCTACCCGTGCGCGCTGTGCAGGAAGGCCTTCCGGCACCAGCCCACGCTGACAGCGCACCGGAGGATCCACAATGGCGAGGAGCCCTAGGAGTGCAAGGCGTGCGTGCGGCAAGGCCTTCAGGCACATGGGGAATCTCACCTGCCACCACAAGACCCACGTGGCAGAGGAGGTGCCGCCCCGGGGCGGGGGAGGGGAGGAGCAGTGCGGGGAGACTGCCTCCCCCCACACACACTCACATGACCCCCCAGATGACGGCCAACGGAGCTGCAGGTAATGGGCCTGAGGTCGTGGGCAAGTTTCAGCCTTTACTCTCTTTAGAGGTACTTGGCGACATCAAGAGATGCCCACAAAGCTGATGCAACATCCCTGAGAATTCGGCGAGGACAGGCAACAGCAGAGACCGCTTCAAGCCTGTGAAACCATACAGGGCCCACTCGCTTTTATGTTCTGCTGTAGCTGTCTTGAGATTCTCTGAACCAAGGGCCCCATATTTTCATTTTTCATCAGGCCCCTAAAATTGTTGCTGGTTCCGAGGGTAGAGACTGAATCAGGGGCAGGCAAACCACAGCCTGCAGGGCCATACCTGGCCTGAAAGGTAAAGATGTTTTCACATTTTAGAAGAGTTATAAAATAAAATGAAAAGAATGTGAGACAGAAAGGTGGTGTGACCTACAAAGCATAAAATATTTACGATTTGGCCCTTCACAGAAAAACCTTGCCAACCCCAGCCATAAACCAGCAGTTATTTGTGGGAATTCCAGACTCTTCTTGGACAGTTCTGGCAAAGTCCTTGTGTGGTCTCATGATCTCTCTGTGCTTCCGTCAAGGTAGGCTCTGTGGTATGTGGAGGGATTCTGGGATAGGAAGGCTCCATTTTTCGTTCATCTCCAGAACTTAAGTTGGTGCAGACAGACCGGCCACTGTCTTTGGTCCTGAATCCCAATTGCTCCATGACCACCCGGATCTGTGTGTCTGGCGTTTATGGAGAACGAACTAAACGTGATTCTCTGTTCAGTGGCTGCCTGTTCACTACATGATCTGGGCGTCTCACTTCAGGAAGATTTGCCCAGTGGGACCTTTTGGTAGCTCACTCTGTTCACTATATTTGTTCGCTTGGGCTGCCATGGCGAAATACCACAGGCTGGGCGGCTTAAACAACACAAATATATTTTTCTCACTGTTCTGGAGGCTGGAATTCTGAGATCAGGGTGTCAGCAGGGTTGCTTTCTTCTGAGGCCTCTCTCCTTGGCTTGCAGGTGGTCGTGCTCTCCCTTTTCACACATTTGTCCCTTAGTGTCCAGCGTACCCCTGGTGTCTCTCTTCTTATAAGGACACCAGTCATTGGATTAGGACCCACCCATATGACCCTCTTTAACCTTAATTACCCGCTTAAAAGCCCTATATTCAAATGCAGTCACATTTTGAAGTTACTGAGTGTTAGGATTTCAAGGTGTGAATTTGCGGGGAACACGTTCAATCTATGACATCCCCAAATGGCTAGACATTTAAACTTTTATAACTGTAGTGATGTCTACATGGTTTGGCAAACATGGGCTGAGCTCTGACCTTGCATTTTGTTTGGGTGGCAGGGAGGGCCAGCGTCCCCCAAATGCTTCATTGTCCTACCTTCCTGGTGTAGTTGGTCTTGGGACGCAGCCATCCTGTCAGAGACCACATTTCCCACTTCCATCTAGGAGGGGGTGTGGACTGTACAGAAAGTGAGGAAAGGGATGATTCAGAAAAGGCTAGGCCTTTGCCAGAGCCCTTCCCGACTCCCCCTCCCCCAGGGCATCTCTAGAAGTGGTGGGTTGAAGATAGTGGCGTTAGCTTGGATTCCTGAGTCACCCCATGGAGTAGACACTCCTGCTGATTGGCTGGAATAATGTGCCAGGCCTGTGGGGTTTGTTACTGCATTTGGTCTGTGCTGACCCAGCTCTGTGACCTCACCCCATGCTGGAGGACAGGCATCATTGCCATATAACAGGCGGGGAGGTGCTGAGGAGCTCAGTGATCACCACCTGGTTAAGTGGTGGAACCACTGACTGAACCCAGCATCCACTGATCCCAGAGCCCATGATTTTGCACAGGCTGCAGACCAGGCATCGGACCTAATGTTTCTTCCTGCAAGTGTAGTTTGTTGTGGCCTCACTGCGCCTGCCCGAAATAGCATTTTTTAAATAAATAAGGGAATTTGGTGTTTAGAAAACAGACATTGCACATAAGAAGTCTGGCTTTCCAGCTCCATGATCTCAAGCAAAGTGCCCTGAGCCTTGGTTTCCTCAGCTAAAAACCCAGCTAATAGTGCTCTGAGTAATAATTAATTAGTCATTTATTAATACATATTTTATGTATTATTTTATTATTCACAATAATAGAAGCACTATCATATTTATTATTTGCTATTCATTGTTGATAATAGAGCACTATTATCAATAGTAAAATAATAAGTAAATTATTACTAAGGGTGTGGATGAGGCATAATTGGATAATGTACCTGCTTGCCTGAAAGCACTTTATTTTCACAAGAATTCCACCCAGCGTGGGGGGTGGGGACAGGGTTAGTCTGTGATCTAAGACAGCATTGTTCTCCTGTAATTCTGAAACAGCCCTGCCTTGGGGGCACTCCTGCCGTCTTGCTGGGTTTCTGCAGGAAGTGCCTTCTCCCCTATCTCTGAGCCTGTGGGTTGGGGTCCAGCCTCCTGGTGTGACCATTCCCAGGTCAGGAATCTGGCACTGTGAGTAGCAGGTGGCCTCATATTCTGGGGCAGGCATGCTGGGTTCCTGGGGTTCCCATGGTGTCTCTCATAGTGTGACAGCAGCCAAACAGGTAAGAATGGAAGGAAGGGCCACTTCCTTCCAGCTGGAGTGTCCTGGGGCTACCGCTTGGCCAAATGCTGGTGGGGCGCCTTCTCCACGCACCCACACTGAGGCTGATGGAAAGACAGGCTCGGGCTGGGGCAATGGTGTGTAAACCGTGGATTTTACTTTCTGATGCTTTGACATTTGGGGCCTTGCTGGCCCTGGAGAGACTGCCCCTGCGGCCCCCTCTCCCGCCCAGAGCCAGCTAATTCCTATACATAGGAAACCACACAACTATCTGTAAGCACACTTTTCAAATGCAAACCAAACCATCCACAGCCCACAGCCCACCCACCTCCTCTGTCAGGTTCTCACACTCACACTCACCTGCTTTCATCCTCCCTGGGCAGGTACCAGACAACTTGGGGCAGCCCCTGTGCCCCAGAGCCCATGAGATGATGCAAACCTGCTGATCCTAAGCCTGTTCACTCTGCCTTGCCATTCCAGGGAGCTGTGGATGGGGGGTTGAGGGATCCAAGTCAGAACCAGGTCTCCAGGGAGTATGTTAGTACTGGAATGTAAGGGCTCGTACCTGGAAAGGCCCACTGGCTTATTCATAATCCAGTCGGCTAGCATTTATGCAGTGCCTGCTGTTGACTCATTCATTCAACAAACACTTACGGAGCACTGCAATGCTCTTCTAAAGTCCTGGGGGAACCAAGTGAACCAAACCGACAAAGTCCAAAGCTCTGTCCTCATTCTCATGAGGGAAACGGGTGACAAAGAAAGAAGATCAGAATTCAGACAGCCTGCAGTCTGCACACTGGTGAAATATGAAGTGGGGAGGGGAGTACTGCAATTTCAGAGTGTGATCGGAGAAGGAAATGTTTAAATAGGGACCTTAAACAGACTGTCAGGGTGCTCCAGAGAAACTGTATCTTCCTTTACACATATATCCTATTATATATCGTGCATAAATATCTTATTATGCATACATACATATCCTGTGTACATATATAAACACATGCTATATATTATATGTATATTACATATACATATCTAATATAGACACATATAAGTATATGTGTTCAAGTATAAGTTCTAGAGATTTTGTTTATTTGAATTATCTCCTGCAATTGCGGGTCTAGCAAGTCCAAAATCCATAGGACAGGCCAGTAGCCAGGAAACCAAGGCGGGAGTTGAAGCTATAATCCTAAACTAGAATTTCTTTCCTGTCTGGGAAACCTCAGTCTTTACTCTTAAGTCCTGCAACCAATTGGGTGAGGCACACCCACATTATCAAAAAAAATCTTTATAGTCAGCTGTTGGTAGATATTAGCTTCACAGCTGGCCCTGGACCCTGGTGTGATTAAATTACTGAGCACTAGAGTCCAGCCAAGCTGACAAGTAAAACTCAACCATCACAGACCCTGAGGCTCAGAGAGGTTAGGAAACTTGCCCAAAGTCACACAGCAAGTATGGTCAGACTCTGGGCCTGAACGCAGTCTGGCTCCAGAGCCTCTGTTCTTTTTTTTTTTTCCCAAAGATTTTTATTGGGGAATTGGGGGATGGGAACAGCGCTGGGGAATTGGGGGAAGGGGAACAGACAAGTTGCTGTCATTTTGTTCTTCAGTCTAGTTGTGGAGGACATCGCTTCACTGGCCCAAGTTGGCACCATAATTGCGCTCTTCCCGGGCGAGGGAGATCAGTCGCCGGCTTCTGGATGGCTGCTCACAGTGGCTGCTGGCCGCTCACACTGGCTGCTGGCTACACACGGTAGCCCATGGCAACCCACTGCAGCAGGGGCTGCAGCCTACACCATCGCCGGCGACTCACAGCAGCCCAGCTCCAGGTTGAGCTGTTGTTCAGCATCTTAGCTGTAGAGGGCAGTGTCACTGGCCCTCATATGTGGGATCCGAACTGGGGCCCTCTGGCGTCCCAAGCCAGCTCTTAACCAACACGCCACTTGGCCGGCCCCAGAGCCTCTGTTCTGACTGACTGCCATTATCCTGCCCCTTTTTCTTTATTTACTGAATGAGGGCATTGTCTTTGGTTGTAGTAGTAAGAGTAAAGGCACATACTCGCTATGATTGATTACTGAATACACGTGACACTAGAACAACACGGGTTTGAATTGCACAGGTCCACTTATATGCAGGTTTTTTCAATAAATACAGTAAATGTATTTTCCTTATGATTTTCTTAATAACATTAAGATGCAGTTTCACACTCCAATCCCAGCCCCTTTGCTTCTGGGCTGTGTGACCTCACTCAGGTCTCTGAGCCTCTCTGAGCCTCGGCTTCCCCATCCCTGATGGGGATGGCATGAAGAAAACACAACTGTGTGTGTAAAGTTCTTGCATCCTAGGTACTCAATAACTGTTGTGATAAGGTGTTCCCTCCAATCCCCTTATGAAAAATGGCTTTGAACTTCCCGCCACACCTTCTGGAACCTTTAGGGTGAGTTCCACCCAGTGGCCCAATCGTGAACTGCCCCCCTCACTTTTCAGTCTCTGTCCACATGCCTGCTCCTGACAGGCCTTCCTGACCACCCAACCTCAGAGCCCCATGTGACACCTGGCTCAATGTCCTGTATTTTACGCCCTGTTGCCCATTTACTGCCTGTCCCCTGGCACTAGAATGTAAGCTCCACCACATAGGAACCTCACTTGCTCTGTTTGGTGCTGAGCCCCCACTGCCAGCTTCTGGAAATGCATCCAGGTACTTGGTAAATGCTGCTGGAGCCTCTGGGCACTTCCCCGGGCTTGTCTGCCCAAGGTCTCAGTTACCCCCATCTTGCCCCAGCTTCCTAGGGATCAGGTGGCAATGAGTGACACAGGAACTCTCGAGGTGCCTTCCCATCTCACCCCTCCTCTCCCTGTCCATTCCTAATTGATGAGAGATCTGGGCAGGACGTGAAAGGTGCAGCAGGGAGAGTGTCATCTCGGGAATAGGGCTGAAGATGCCAGAAGACGGTGGACACAGGACATGATGCAGGCGACAAGAAACCTAAGGTAGGTGGAGACAGTGGCTGCTAGACAGGCTGTCAGAGATGCAGTCTCTTAGCTCTCAGAAGTGCCTGGAAGGTCACAAACTTCCATGTGCTCATCTTATTGAATGATCCATGTCTCCTGCCCCTTCTCGAGAGAGAATGGGAGAGAGAAGGGAAGGGGGCTGTGTTCTGTGAGTTTCTGTGTTGCTGGGTCCACTTGTGACAGCAGCTTAGCTTTCACTGACTAACCTATCCATCGACTCTCATTGTCCCCATTTTAAAGGTGAGGAAACCACAGCACACACAGGGATTAGATGAAACATGCTCAGGGTCACACAGCTGGGGCTCACCTTCTGGCTAACCTTTCACGTGTCATCACTTGTCACAAAGTCCTTGCATGTGCTGCTGCGGATTTCAGTCACTACCAAAGTTTACAATCTCTCCCAGCCACCCCCCAGCAGGCAGCCTGGCTGACATGTTTTGATGACAGGAATAGACTGTGAGGATGAAGGCACAGTAGCTACACTGGTACAAGCAGATGTGAGGTGGGACCCCTCAGCGAGTCTGGGTACCCTCTGGGAACCCTGGACTGTGGCCCCTTCCTGCCCTGCCCCCACTCCATGGTTGGGTCAAGGGAGTATAGAGTACACACGGGATGACCACAATGACAGGACTCCCCAAAGAAAATGTCACATTCAGCAAGATCTGTTTCATGATGAAATTCAAGCAGCCATCTGATTTTAAATAACATTAACCCCTCAGGGCTGCATTCTCCATCTCCTCCCACCTAAGCACATGGTACTTATGGGGTCCTGGAGGTCAGTTTGTGGTGAACCCAATAGAATGAAGCTTGGGGCTTTTTGTCAATGACTCAAAGATGTGACAGAAATCGTGCAGTTGAGAGGAGATTCTGGAGCCCACCATGTAACCATGAGGGAGGCCAGCCGAGGGAGAGGCCAGCACATGAAGGGGAGCAGAGAGCCAGAGTTACGGCGCTGATGCCATGCCTGGATCAAACCCACCCTGATTCCCACATGGTTGCCGGATATGACAAAAACCTGCCCACCTTGTCCATGCATGCCCAAGCCATGCTGTCCCCGCTTACAACACAGGCGTGTTTACCAATATACATGATTTAGAAAAGAATTTATTCTTCATACATACCCATGTCAGCAAATGTGGCACATTCAGAAACACCAGGATCTTTGCGATGAATAGCATCAAGTGTTACAATAAAAAGGGTGGCGCAAAAAGCCCCAGAGAAAGGAGACTCTGGGGGAAACTATGTGGAAACAAAGCTTCAGGTCGGCCTTAGGAAACTCACCTGGAGCTACCTTCCGGTTTCACAGTTAAAATAAAACAAAGCAGACACTCTGTGCTCAGATGTGCACACTTACCAAACCCAGGTGTGGAGTGCTGACTGCAAGCTGACATGGTCCTTGCAGTCTGGGATCTCAGCCAAAAGCTGACCCCGTTCTCCTCTCCCCCTTGCTCATGGTCTGCTTTGGGCAGACAAGCTCCTTCCTTCTGACCTTTATTTAGAGACTAGCTCCTTGGCTGAACTTGCCTACTTCTGCAATTTGTACCTACAAGTCTAACTATACAGAACTAGAAAAGCATGCTGCACCGGATAGCTATTCCCCTGTTCCTCTTTTAACTTCCTAAAACAACATCCTGGCTGTAGCTGTATAAAATAAAGTGTATCTGATTATTAGGGGCTCTTGCAAGCCATCAGCTTGCAGAGACCTCCCAATCCCATCTTTGACTCAGGTCTCCTTTATTTCTCATTTCCCACCGTCCTCCCTCGGGTCACTGGCCGGCAACACCCAGGAAGTATTCAAACCTGGATATCAAGCCTGGTGTATGTGCACACCCTCCCCCTCTTCCCTTTGCCCCACAAATGTTGACACTGATTTTGACAGGACAACTGGTACCTGTATATTTTGCACCTGACAAATTTTTTAAATGACACTGGTCTCCCTAATTAAGTTTCATTTAAAAAAAAGTTTCATTTAAAAAATTAACAGATCACTATGAGAAACTGTGGCATCTAAAGTGATTAGTGTCATTTGCTGACTCTGAAAAAGAACTATTTTTCCCATGCACAACTTGCCAACGTCTATCACTTATTAGCTTGAGGGCTTCCAGCAGCTGTTGTAGGGAGACCGGGGGCTGGGTGTGGGGAGGTCGGAAACTCACAGATGGTGACACCCTTACCTCTGGACTAGATCCAGGGTGTGTGTGACAAAGGGAGAATGTCCCCATGTTCCTTATTGAGTCCTCTCCCCCTCCTCCATTTTACAATTGAGGAAACGGAGACCCAGAGACAGTAAATCTGTTGTCCAAGCTCTTATGACAATTTATGCAGAGCTTGGTCTGGAGCCCTGACGTCCTAGGTCCCTGGAGCCATAGTGAAGCTGACCATGTCCCCCGATACTAAACTTGTAGGGGCCTGCTCTCTACTGAGGCTGTGCGAACGCTGCAGAAGGAAGGAGCTCCTGTGAATGGCGAGGCCTGTCCCCAACGCTCACATTCCCACGACCCGCCTGGGCAGGACTTGTGTTGGCACTGCGTTACCGGGGCCCCAGTGTCAGAACTTCTCGGGCTGACAAGGTGCTCAGGGTCGTGCCCGCCTGGCATGGATTCTGAGGGCTCACGCCCCTCCTACGTGTGGATCCTCAGGTGTCGCGTGAGGTTGGTGTTGCGGCTGAAGGTCTTCCCGCACTCGCCGCACTTGTACGGTTTCTCTCCGGTGTGGATCCTCTGGTGGACGGTGAGTGAGGAGTTCTTGATGAAGGCCTTGCCGCACTCGCCACATTTGTAGGGCTTCTCTCCGGTGTGGATGCGCTGGTGCTCGATGAGATAGGCGCTCTGGCTGAAGGCCTTGCCGCACTGGCTGCACGCGTAGGGCCGCTCCCCGGTGTGGCCGAGCTCGTGCACCACTAGGGAGGAGCGGCCCGTGAAGTGCTTCTTGCAGATGTAGCACTCGTAGGGCTTCTCCCCGGTGTGGATGCGCTGGTGCTGGGTGAGCGACGAGTTCTTGCTGAAGGCCTTGCCGCAGGCGCTGCACTCGAAGGGCTTCACCCCGATGTGGAAGCGCTGATGCTGGATGAGGTAGGCGCTCTGGCTGAAGGCCTTGCCGCACTGGCCGCACGCGTAGGGCCGCTCGCCCGTGTGGTTCCTCCGGTGCAGTGTGAGGGACGAGCTCTTGTTGAAGGCCTTGCCGCACTCCTGGCATGCGTACGGCCGTTCGCCCGTGTGCGTCCTCCGGTGCTCCGTCAGGTGCATGTTCTGGCTGAAGGCGCGCCCGCACTGGCCGCACACGTACGGCTTCTCCCCGGTGTGCGTGCGCTGGTGCACGACGAGGTGCATGTTCTGGCTGAAGGCCTTGCCGCAGTCCCCGCACCGATAGGGCTTCTCCCCGGTGTGGGTCCTGTCGTGCTGGGCCAGGGACGAGGTCTTCCGGAAGGCCTTGCCGCACACGTCGCACGCGTAGGGCTTCTCCCCGGTGTGCGTCCTCTGATGGACGATCAGGTTCATGCGCTGGCTGAAGGCCTTGCCGCAGTCCCCGCACCGATAGGGCTTCTCCCCGGTGTGCACGCGCTGGTGGATGGTGAGGGAAGACCGCTCGATGAAGTGCTTCCCGCACACGTCGCACGCGAAGGGTTTCTCGCCGGTGTGGATCCGCTGGTGCTTCATCAGGGACGAGCTCCGGCCGAAAGCCTTGCCACACTCCCTGCAGTCGTAGGATCTCTTTTCCGCGCAGAGCTTGGACGGCACTCTGAGGTCTGGAGTACCTGAGAGGTTTTGCCCACGCATGACAAACGGGTGGATCCCTTCTGCTCTTGGCTCCTCCGATCTCGGTGGGACCGGCCTGGAGCTTTGGTTGATGAAAGCCTTAAATGCACGACGTTCAGGGGCTAGCTCCTGGGAAATCTCCAAGCCTTCGAGGCAGGTTGTCTCCCCCTGCTGTCTCCCCACCCAGTCACCCTGCGTCCCCGCTTCTTCAAGGGCAGAACGCCAGGCACCATTCCTCGTGGGTCCTTCCACGACCACCTCAGCGGATGGTCTGCCTTCTGAAATGTCCTCCTTTAGGTCCGATTCTTTCATGTCAGGTCTAGTCTCCAAGTCTGGGGGGTGGGGTGAAGAGCAGACCAAACATACGTAGTTAGCAAGGATAGGGAGCAACTTTCTAAGAGTGGACAAAGCACAGAGCGAGGAAAAAGTGACAGCCTGTCGCTGGGACGGGAGGAAGGAGGGAAGCAGTGAGCTGACACAAGGATTAAGGAGGTGAGCAGAGGACAAGATAGGTCCCTTCGGGAGGGGCGGTGCAAAGGGTGGCCAGCGGCTGGAGCTCAGAGGACAGACTCCTGAAGAGAAACAACAGGACGGCGGGCTGGCAGGAGCGGATCGAAGGCTCTTACAAACCCGAGTTAGGGTTTACTGCAATGGGCACCTCCCTTTCAGGGCTCGTCCTGCACATCCTCAACCAGCTATGCTTCTCACAGCATACATTTTTATCAGAAACAATAAAATAACAGCTGACATTCATGTGGCGTGTGCCACCCAAGCTCCATTCTTCCTTACCCCATCCAGCAGGTGCCCCTCACTGCCCTCTTTCAGTGTCTAGTCCTGGAGCAGCTACTGTCCCTTGCAGCTGACTGCAGAACCCCTTCTCTTTGCACACCCCTCACCCCTCCCTCCCTGATCACAGCCACGTGGCAGCTCCAATCCCTTCTACCCATGTCCTGTGAATTTCTCAATCTCTCTTTCCAGTCTAGCGCTCACCTGAGTTCCAGACTCTGTATCATGGACCTAATGGCTTTATTCTAAACATTTAAAAATTGTGAGATCTTACACAAACATTTCATTAAATGAGAAGATCCAGCCACATGGACCCCTTTTTCCTATGAGGCAACAAAAAGCAGGAGTAGAAAAACAGCTGTTCTCCCTTCTGCATGTAAGCTCCCACCAGCCCCTAGGACCCCTGAGTTTGAGACTGCTCCCCTAAGCCATGCCGGCTTCCACTGCCACAGTACAAGAGCCTGGATTTCAGTCTCTTCTCTATACTGGTGCCCCCAAATTGAAGCCCCCAGCCCAAACCGCCTCTCTGAGCTCTGCTGAGGAATATTCAAAAGGCTACTGGGTGTCCTTCTTGGACATCGCAAACCTAACACATTTGATATGAAACTTGTGATTTTGGAGCCCTTGCCACCCCTGATAAAAAGAAAGGCTCATCAGAGAGACTTAGCAAAATAAGTCGGACACAGAAGGACTGATACTGTTTGATTCCATTCATATGAGATCCCTAGAGTCATCAAATTCATGGAGACAGAAAGTAGGATGGTGGGTGCCAGCTCTGGGGGAGGAAGGAATAGAGAGCTGTTTAATGGGGACAGAGTTCCACTTTGGGATGATGAAAAGAGTTCTGGAGATGGATGATGTGATGGTCGCATGGCAATATGAATGTACTTAATACCACTGAAATATACACTTAAAAATGGTTAAAACAGTAAATTTTGTTACGTATATTTTACCACAATTTTTTAAAAATAAAAATTTTTTAAATTAAAAAGAAAAAAGATTCAGCAGTCATCCTTAATTTACCCCTTCCCTCCCACTGTCCAGCCTATTAACAAGTGCCACTGGATGTGCAAAACTGCTTGAACTGGCCCAAATCTCTCCATCACCACTGTTGACAATCCGGCCTTACCCCGGATTTCGTGACCGAGGTGCCACAACAGCCTCCACCCTCACTCCTTCACAGTGCACCCTCCACTCAGCGGGAAGAGGGTCTTAAGAGTCAGAACGAACCCTCCAGGGGCTTCCCCATGCACTTGGGTAAGAGCCCATGCTTTCCCATGGCCTGTGGGCAGCCTGTCCTGACTCCTCTCCACCATCCGCCCACACTCACCCTTTCGTTCCCTTGTCGGTGCCAAGTTCTTCCTGCCCCAGGGCCTTTGCATCTGCTGTCCCAGACCTTCTCACGGGCACCTATCCTTCAGGCCTCAATTAGCATTTATCCCCCACATGAGGCTGTCACCCTACAGTGGAAAGGAAGATCCATTCCACAGTTCTCTCACCTGCTTTGCTGTGAGCACGCATTACCAGCTCCCCCAAGTGGAAAGGGAGCTCCATGAAGGCAAGGGCCTTGCTGGTCCCCAGTTCCTCCAGCAGTGCCTGGCACACAGAAGGTACCCAAAAGCATCTGCCACGTGCCTGGCGTGGCACCAAGTGGCCTGCACGCATCATTTCATGCATCCCACACGGACATGAGTTGGTGCTGTTAAGGTTGCACCCATTTTACAGTTGGAGAAACTGAGGCTCTGAGAACGAAGTCACACCCTCAAGGTCACACAGCACATTTGCTTAAGTGGTCTGATCCCTGAGTCACTATTTGGCCATGTCTCGCTGTCCCACTCCAGAGGAAAGGATTTGAGAAGTACTTAAGGTGGGAGAATGACCATGGTATGGGAGTGATACCCAAATATCAGGGCAGTAGGTGGTGTGGGGCACGAAGACCATGGGGCAGGTAAGGGTAACTTCTCTCAGAGGGAGGAGTGAAGTGAAGGTGATGGTGGATTTGGGCCAATCCCCATTGGGCCAATGGGGTCTGAGACACATTAGGGACATAAACTGGCACGTAGTTACAGATGTGAGAGGGGGTGTAGTCTAGGTTGTGAATATGGTGAGAAGTCTTTTGGAATAAACTCACCCAAGAAGTCAAAAGAGCTGGAGGCAGAATCCCAGCAGAACTGGTAATTAAGGGGAGGGGGAAAGGAGGCAGCCTCCCTTTCATGGATTAAAACCATTTTTCTGCAGAAGCAAACACCCAGCTTTTCACCCTGAAAAGCCACAGAAACATAGTTCCACATCAGCCAAGTTAAAAATGACCCCACCATGTGGCTTTTCACCAGTCAGATCAGAAAAAGTGATGCATCTGATGACATGCTTGGCATTCTTGCCCAAGATCTAGTGAAATGTCAACAGTACAACACCTGAAGAGGCCATTTTGGCAAAAAACTACGAATGGGCAAAACGTTATTCATTCCTTTTGGTCTAAATGTGGATGAGTTTTGTTTTTCATGGTGCTAGATTTCTTGTCCTTCATAGTTTCTTTCTCCATATTGTACAGATTTCTGTGATCGTTTCTTTTTTTAAATCTTTATAAGAGTTTATTTGAGTCAAACTGACCACATATGCCGGGAGCAAGATCTCAAATGCTCCTATCGTTTCTAATCACAAAGTAATTCAAACTTGTTATTAAAACATCCAACATCAAAAATAACTTATAAAATGGAAATCTCCTGCAATCTCACCCATTGAACAGTTTGGTGTATATTTTTAGAATATTTTCCCCATATTTAAAAAAATACACATAACACGTCTGTATGCACACACACACATGAATGCACACTTTTTTACCCCTAAAATGAAGCTTCTGACTAAGACACAGCATCAGGGATAACATTTCCCTACAGCCTAAAGCAGTGTGGGAGATGGGGACAAAATATATAGACAAAAGTTTTCAAGACACTGGACATCAGGCAACAAAGGGCACTGATTCCTAGAGGTGAGATTCAAAACAGGCAGGCCCTACAACCTGTGAAGTCTGCAGGCCGCAGCACAGAGGGGAAGCTGAGGCGAAAGCCAGCAGACTCCCTATTGAGGAGATGGGGCTGAGGGAGCACAGCAGGCGGAGTTCACCAGACAGAGTGCTGGAGAGGGAAGCACTTCACAGAAAGCGCTGGGGGTAGGCGAAGTCCCTCCTCCAGTTTCCAGATCAGGGCTATGTGAAGTTGGGGAGACCTCCTGAAAGGATCTGGAAAAGGTCCCCAGAGCTGACGCAGGGCCAGGAACAGTGCCTTCTCACACTGGCCAGCCATGCAACTCGCACCAGGTAAACTCATGGAGCATCGAGCAGAATACCCAGAGGGTCTTGTGGAGAGTAAGTCGTCTTAGACTGAGTGCGGGTCAAAAGATAAAGCCTGAGTGCAGATCGAATGACACAGTGCTGGTGTCAAGACAGACAAATGGATCAACGGACACAACAGCCCAGAATCAGAGCCACACATACATGGACAACTAATCTTTGACAAAAGCGCAAAGGCAATTCAGTGGAGAAAATTCTGGGGGAATTTTTAGATGGAAAAATTCAGTCTTTTCAACAAATGATGGTGGAATAACTGGACACCCATTTGATGAAAAAAATGGACTTGAATGAACACTCTACATCATTACAAAAATTAACTCTAAAGGGGTCATAGAACAAAAATATAAAGCCGAAAACTCTACAGCTTATAGAAGAAAACCTTTGTGGCCTTGAGCTAGGCAAAGATTTCTTAGATGTGACACCAAAAGTACAATCCCCAAAGAAAATAACTGATGAACTGGATTTAATCAAATTAAAACCATCCACTCTTCAACAAATGGTGTTGGCACCAGGGTATCCACATTCAAAAGTGACATTATCCCCCTTTCTTTATGTTGTTTACAAAAAAAAAATAACTCAAGGGCTGGCCGAGTGGCGTGATGGTTAAGAGCTGGCTTGGGACACCAGAGGGCCCCGGTTCGGATCCCACATATGAGGGCCAGTGACACTGCCCTCTACAACTAAGATGCTGAACAACAGCTCAACCTGGAGCTGGGCTGCCGTGAGTCGCCGGCGATGGCGTAGGCTGCAGCCCTTGTGGCAGTGGGTTGCCATGGGCTACCATGTGTAGCCAGCAGCCATTGTGAGCAGCCAGCAGC